AATGTTTTTAGATATTTTCTTAATTTCTTATTTAATTTAATTTTTATTTATTATATTTATTTATAAATTAAATTTTAATATTTTAAAAATAATTATTAATAATTAACTCATGTATAATAAACGCGAATGGTGTCGATATTCACTGTGATTCTAGTAACCACATGCATTACGTTCCAAACAATAATGGTCATGCAAATGTTTTGCATCAGATTGGACCCTTAAGAATTATTCTCAATTCAATTTCTAAAATCGCTATTGATATGCAAGCTCCCTTAACAGACCACATCAACAAAAATAAATGAGAAGAAAAAAGTTCGCATCAAGAGGAAGAAGAGAAGTCCAAAATTTCGAATTTTTGAAGGTGTGTGGGGTACGTGGAGCTAAGCTCCATTTGTTGGCTTCAAAGGGTGGGAATGGCCTTTCCAAATTGAGAATTCTCACCCTTTTTATTACACTATATCTCACTTTTTGGAGACGGCCATTATCCAATTGAAAACGACCACATATACTCAGCGATATTGAGTATGGTTATTTTCATGACCAATATGTTTTTTCTCAATGTTCAAAAACTTGTTTTCTTGATTTTTTGACTCTTTAGAGTGCTTTTTAAGGGTTTGTTGCCTCCTTTTGAAGTATCCTCGAGTTTATAACTCTTATTGAGGGTCAATTTATTCATTTATGAAGCTTTCCAATCATTAGATTCTCAACTCGGACAAGAACCGGTGTCTACAATACCCAAGGTTGATCAACCCATCCCAACTAAAAGAATTTTAGCTCATAAGTTTATGTAATGTTGCATACATGATCATCACTAAAGTATTGGTATCTCGCCTTCAACCCTTCCTGGATGACCTGATTCATCCCTTCAAAAGGAGTTTCATACCTAGAAAAGGAACAATTGTGAATACTATATTCTAGCTCACAAAGCGCTGAGCATAATTCAAAAAAGTAAGGCGAAGAAAGGTTTCCTTGCGGTAAAGGTGGACTCAAAGAAAGCTTACGATATAAGGTGAAGTAGGATTTTTGGCATGCAACACTACAAGCATTTTGGTTCCCTATAAAGTGATTTCAAATCG